AGCTCTTAAACACAAATTTCATTTTGGTAATTGTGCAAGAAGTAATGTACTTGTCTGGTGGGAGTATCCTGTGAGAGACAGCAGCCTGGAGATGAGTGTCAGAGTAGATTGTATGTTGAATATATCACATCCTGTTGACTTTTCAAGTAAGAAGGCAATAATGAAAGCAGGAACATCTGGAAGCATGCTGTGAAACAGTGATTCCTTAAATATTGATGGTCTGGTTTTGTAGCCATCACAGTTAAAGCACACAGATGGAGTTCAGAGCTTTGCCTGGACCGCTTGGCTGAGGCAGTGTGGCAAAGCCGTAAGGAACAAGAGGAAAGGGAAAGCCTGCAGTAATCCCAGTTGGATGCGTCTTGTCTCGGGAGTACGGGAACATCTTCCCATTTCTGTTGGTAATGCTCTCATGGAAGATGTGTAGCGACTGGCACTGAGGAAAACCTCACTGGTGTGTGCTCCAGGAGGTGCAGATGGGCAGGTTGGACGGAGACCTCCGAGTGTGATGAGAATCCTTGTGGGTAAGGAGCTTTGCACAGTGTTCCCTGCACACAGCAGTGGTTTAGGTGCACTTCAAGTTTTTAGGTCCCTCAGACATGGAGGAGAAGACAAAGAAAGAGGAAATATTCTTTTCCAAGCCTAAGATATATTGCTCTAATATTTCTTTTTGCCTTTGCTTCTATTCCCTCTTGGCAGTTCCATCTTTCCATACAGCTGCAGGCTGTCAGTGGCTCTCATACACACGCACACGGAGTATTTGTTAACTACAGCTATTTGAGGTGAAGCAGGGAGGTTCTGTGCTGAGGCAGAGTTTTCAGATAACTGCCTGAGGCACCAGGTATTTTGGAATCAAAATCTGGAAAGCAGAGTCATTATTTCTGTTGTTTTAGTGCCTACTTTTATTCTCTTTCCTATTGACAAATGTTCCTTAACCCATATTGCTGTGGGTGGTTTTTTCACATTTGCACTTTACAGAAATGGTAAAAAGAAGGGAGAAAAAAAACTTTTTTATTTAAACCATCTTTGCAATGTCTCCTACTCAGTATTGCATCACCCTTTCCTGTCTCCTTTCTTGACCTTTGATCTATGGACATAGTGAAGTGTGTAACTTTCCACATGAGATGCAAATGAAAAGTGTCTGGAACAAAAGGGAGCAGAAGGGGAAAGTCCTCTTCATCTCCCTGTGGCAAAGTGTCAAACAAATCCCACCATTAGGAACTATCTTGTTCAGGGAGGTGCACAGCCATCTTCCTTGCTGGCTTGTGTAGCTGATCTGAGTAGTACTAATAACTGATAACTGCAACCGGTGGATCTTCCAGCAGATGGATGCTCTCAGGTACAGAAAAGCAGACCTGGGGCTTTATTCACACAAGGGACACTGGAGAAGAAATCACAACAGCATCAGGGACCTGAGAGTCTGCCCGAGGGACTACTCTCAGTTGCAGACTTGGCATCTGTGTCCCTGTGGTTGGCCTCAGACTTCTCAGCTCATGCTTCTCCAAGCCTTGGAGGGATCTCTGGCTCTCCTTTGCTAACCCAGCACATGACTGGTTCCAGTGCAGCTTATCCTTGGACCTTATGTATGATATGTTGATATTGATGGTAATGGAATGTCCTGCAGGTTAGATCTGAGGCTGCTGAATGACAGCTACTAAGTGTGTGCACTCATACGGACCATCAGAAGAGATGACTGGCCCCGTCTAGACTTCGGGAGGTCAGCAGTTGGGATTGTGCTCTGTCTGTGTCTTTGCTCTTAGCATTGCTTTGTTCCCCCCAGGGTCAGTGTGATGGGGTATGGATGTAGTGGAGGGCACAACATTCAAAACCCATTTCAGATGGAGGAAAATGTGCTTCGTTGCTGGTGATGGTGTGAGTTTAATGCAGTTGTGTCCCAGGGGTCAGGACAGAAAGCCCTAAGCGCTGCTGCTGAGAGGTTATTTTTAGTATATAGACAACAGGTACCAAGTAAGTGCTATAAAAATAAGGAGGGGTGTAGGTGACACAGCTGTGGTTGCACAAGTCACTTCTCAGTGACTTCTGGGGGTCTCAGGTGTCTGTAAGAAATTAAGTTCTTCATTGTCATAATGGTGAAAAAAGGTAAAAAAGATTGGATGTGAGTCCGGATATAAAATACTTTCTTCAAGCAGCAGAGTAAGAGGAGCCTCATAACCTGATCCTCCCCTTCTCAGCAGCTTGAAGCTGTGATCCTTTTGTGAGCCTCACAAATCAAAAGGACAGCTTGTCTGAGTTCATGGTGAGGTTTGTGCGTGCACTGTGATGAGAGTCGTGATGGAGAACACTCATGGGATCAGCTCTTCTCAGCTGAAGAGTCTCAGAGAAAGTCCTGAGGAAGGAAGGGTTTGCGGGGGAGAGAACATTTTTTATTAGCTCTGCTGGAGATGCACAGTGAGTTTTTTGGTTAGACAGCCCTCTTAAGGCATCTTTCACTAGTTGCAGCGATGTCAGCCGTCACGTCCCTTGCTGCTGTGGGCTGCAAAATGAAGGTCCTACATGCAAAGAGCAGAAGTTGAGGGGGGGTTTTGTTGTTACTCCACGAATTCAAAAGCTGATAGCACAGAGCTACTGCCCTGCTGTCCTTGCACAGGCTGCCTCTGCCTCCTTTTGGGAATGTCTTGATTGCCATTGAGATGTGGGGGTTCAGCAGCTGTTGGGAAGGACGTGGAGTGCACAGGGCCTGCAGCCCCCATCCCTGCTGTGAGAAGCAGAGGTCTCTGCTGCTGACTGTCTCATTAGAGGAATTAGGGAGGCAGCACTTGGTATTCCTCAGGGATGCAGCAAGATGCTTGTTTGAACCAACTAGGCGGATGTGGGAAATACCTCAGGGAAGAGGATTTGTGGGGGGACCTCTTGGGAAGATCAGGAAACAGTTGCCCTAGTTCTTTTTATCAGGATTGTGGTTTATGTTTGAACTTTATTCTTCGTTGTTAGAATTGATAGTTACTTGGTAAATTTGAATCGCACCCAGTTCTTTCCTCAGTAAATCCTTAAACCTGGACCGTAATCTGTTGCAGATACACTGTGGTTCAGATGGATTTTAAGAGCTGAAGATAGTTTACAGAGGCTCAAACAACCCCCTCACAGCTTTATAAAAACATGGAAGTGTGATAACAGAAATACTTCCAGGTCCTAAAGTCAGTCCTTTCATTTGATAACATTCAGATCAGTTTATGCACAAATATTATTCATTGAAGTGTTTTCTTGACAGTTTTAAAGGTGTTTGATTAAGCTGCCTCTGGACTGCAGGGCTGCAGGTCTGGTCTGACACATGAACTGCGTTGGAAACTGAAGGATAGAAACTCATTTACCAGGATTGAGTGGAATCTCTGCAGTCTTTCCAAATCAGATTTAGCCTATATAATGATGGCAACGATCCTTATCTCATTTCTCAGCATGTCAGATAGCGAGAGGTCTCCAGGCGGGGCTCTGCTGTGCAAACTGGCTGATGTTGAGCTCCCTCCCTCCTCCTGACAATAGCCATAAATAACGTGCTTGCACAGAAGTAACTCCAACGGCGCAGAGAGGCGAGGAAGCAGATGAAGCCTGACAGCTCCTCCGTGTGTGCGCCCGGCCGTGGGGAGCCGCGCTAGAGGGGGCTCTGCGACAGCTCAGTGCCTGCTCCCCGCTCGTCCCGCCCTGCGTGGTGAAACACCTCTGAATCCTGGGTTAACACCGGCAGCACGTTTCAGTTAGAGATACGAGCGAAAATCTCGGCTTCTTCTTGTCTGTATGTGGCCACTACCAGAAAAAAAACAGGCAGATGCCTGTGAGCAGGTTCCTGTGTGTTCTCGTGATGGGTTTCCCGCACCTTTGTGCAGCACACGCTGTCTCTGTCCAGGCAATTCCTGTGAGATTGAAGAGGGTGGTTTTGCTGTGGGAAGTGAGGTGATGGCAGGAAACGAGTTGCAGTGGTCATTAAAACTACTGAAGGTGCTTACTGCCAGCCTTTCATCAGCCTTTAGGATATGTGGTGTCCGAAAATACTTCCCAGGTTTGGAAACTTAAGCAAACGCAAATTATCTGAAGCACCCTAGGAAGTCTGAAATCAGGAACCAGTCCTGCTTGCGACGGTGCATGGATCAGAACTGTGGTGAAGTCAAACAGGAGCAGAAATGCTGGGTCTGATAGAGAGCGTGAGCAGGATTTTAGCTGGGGATGCTGGGGACAGGCTGAAGCACTTCACTGCTGTGCTGTTGCTCTTCCCTCCTCCCCAGAGTCCTGTCATTTCACCTGGCCGTGTCACTTAGGAAATACATTCACTTTGTACTTTTTCCTGCTCTTCAGTCTGGGAGATAGAGCCAGTCTGTGGCCAGTTATGAGCTTCTCCATGCAGTCGGTGTGTTTTAATCCAACCGGAGGATGTGCTTTAAGCGCAGACAGGGCTGCATCAAAAGCAGCATCACTGTTACCACATCCTCACGTGTTTTGAGGAGCATTCGCTTAGTGACAACGCATCACAAGGCAGCAGATCAAAAAAGTCCATCTACTCCTCAGATGGTTTTTCAACCCACTTTGCTCTGTGAGTCACAGAGCCTGCAGGATTGGGGGGGGTGGTGGTGCTTTGGGAGGGAGCTGTGCAAGCCCCCAGCACAGTCAGCTCAATAGAAAGGGTTCTTTCAGGCGTGCCAAAGGTAAATAGGGAATGAAGAGGTGAGAAGGTGGTTTGGGAGCCAGAGGCAGCACCTCTGTCACTCAGCTGGGCAGAGCTCACAGCCTCTGTGTCATAGGTACCAAAATTGACTTTATTTGATACAGAAAAGAGTTTTAATTGCTGGCTTAGAATAAACTGTATATGGCATATAAATAGTGCAGGCATCGAAAGTTTGTGAAATCACAGCAGCAAGCTTACCTGCTTATTTTCATTGTGTGTGAGGATGAGCGGTTCTTTCCAACTGGATAGCTGCTGTAATAGTAATATTACACTGACAGCCAAGCTTGCTCCCAAACCTAATGCATTTCCAACTTTTCTATGCTGATTTCAGGAATTAGAGCTCCTGTAATTTGCATCCTTATATCGGGAAGCGATGCATTATGAGAACAGCTCATCTACCACCAGGGAAGGACTCCCAGAAATCACTTGTACCGCCGGATTTACAGGTAGAGGTGTTTTTATTTTAAATAATAGCAATTTTCTGCTTTAGCCTATTAAGAACACTGGGAATTTCGAATGTTACTGTTGGACCTGCTGGATGAACAGGGGGATGGTCCAAGTGCAGACACAGGATCACAGAGCAGTGATGAGCTTCCCAGCCTTGTCTCCATTAACTCTAGGAAGATGGTAAAGGTCTCTTTGCTGCTAGTGTATGAAGTCAGAGTGCTGTAAAATGAATCCAAATGGGAATTTTCCATTGGCATTGGAATGCAACAAATACCCGTGCATTGTGGGTTTACATTAAATGAGCTTTTCCAGCTAGAGCAGTGGCTTTTGGGAAGACTCAGTCTTCCAAGAGACTTAAAATGTTTATTCTATTCTGATTTCATTTGTATGCAGCCTCATGGACTTGGAGCAGATTGGTTGTGAAATGTTCATCAATTGTTCATTACTGGACTGTCAATTTATAGTTCCGGCTGTGTCTTTCACAAGTGCTTCTGCAAGCAGGGAGCTTGAAGGAAATCAAGGGCAGGACTGGACTGTGTGTTCACAACCCTTCTGGGTGATGCTCCCAAGTCAACAGTTTGGGTTTATTACCAGGGAAAGGATGTATCAGCTGCCTGTGCTGTTGCTGAGTTGTTGCTTCTTATTCTTGCATAAATTGAAAAGATACAGTCAGAGCTGTCAGTCTGGGATCTACTATAAGCAGCAAAAATAAACTTAAAAAGTAAAGCTCAAGCAATTGGAAAAGATGGTACTTTGATAGTGTTTTCTCAAGGCAACTTGCAGCCTAAGCAAAATTATACACAGCTTTTGCCAAGCTTAAGATTTCTAAAATGCTTTGATTTCGCCTCCTTCTCCCTGCATTGTTTGGCACTTTGCTTTCAGTGTGCAGCCACAGCAGGCATCACAAATGTAACATGCATGTAAGAACAGGGGATTTGAAATGGTAACATGACAGAGACATCACTGAGTTTTAAAGGAAAAGGGGAATGGGATGGGATGGGGTGGGATGTGGGGGGAAATAAGCCAGTACTGCAGTAGGCTAAAGGCTTGGGAGGTGCATTGTAAGCAGTGTTACTCATTGGTGGTGTTGCTGAGTCAGAGAAGAAAAGAGGTGCTTTTCATCACGTCTTAATGCAGAAATAGATCTTTTTAGTGATGCTCAAGCAACATCGCCAGTGAAGTTACAGCTTCACATGGGAAACATAACTGAAATCATTTCATCAAGAAGTCTTTGCAGTCATAACTTGTTTGGCGTCGAGGGCTCTCCGTGCCCAGCTGGGATTTCCCCTACGATAAAAACCAACACCAGTTTGGGCCCTTGGCTTCTTTAGGTGGGTTAGGATAGAGAACCAGGAATGTGTGAGCTCCAGGTTGCTGGGTGGTGTACCTTCTAATGACTCTCTTCCTGGGTTTTTATTTTGACTGGTTTTTACCAGATCCATCCTCCTTGGCAGGTTGCAAAAGCTCTCTTGTATTTGCTCCGAGTCACTCAGCAGAGGTGAGTTTTTGTTTGTAAGGGAGGCAAGAGGAAATCATTCCAGTGCAGGATCCAGCATTCAGGTCCTTTTATTCAATCAAATTCTTCACTTGGTAACATATTGAGTCTTGACTTTCTGCTATACAGGGAATGACAAATGAAGCATCAGGGATGGGAATCGAATGATTAGGACTTGTAAACCCCTCATTTTGTTTTGCTGTCTCATTGTGTTACCAGAAAGCAATCACCCTTCCTGTAGTTAAGCTTTTTATTTTGGCTCATAGATTTGTCTGGTACGGGAAGAAAAGCAGTACCTTTTGTCTTCCTATTTCTGTTACAATTAATGTGGTTTGTGTTCTGGCAATAGCCATTCCCACTTGCAGCATACACAATTCACCAACCTTGCAACTGCTACTCCCTCTACATAAATCAATCCCTGTTTAATTTTATCCTGTACAGAATTTGACCAAACCCTCAGGAATTGTTTCAAAGAGCGGTACAAGTCCAGCTTTTTATTTTGATCAATTCCGAGGGCTGTAGGCAGCTACCCTGTAATGTAATCATTGCTCATGGAGAGCTGAAGTGTTGTGCATAAATGTTTATGTTGAAAATCAGACAGCAAAGTTTTAGTCATCAGTGCTGTGTTGTTCCCAGGATTCGAAATCCCGAGTAACTTGTGAGTTAAAAGCACTGGCTTTGAGACTGCAAATAAGACTCTTATTCTAAAACAGGAGGTTTTTAAATGATTCATAATTTAACTTCCATATGGCTGCAGTGCAATAGGGCTATGTTATATATGGACATCTAATAACAGCTTTAATTGGGCTTTAACAAGGAAAATGTTTTTGTGAGTGTGCACATGAGGAGGGCTGGGCTCTGCTCCCAAGGAACAAGGGATGGGACAGGAGGGAACGGCCTCAAGCTGCACCAGGGCAGGTTTAGATGGAGCTGAGGAACAATTCCTGCCCCAGAGGGTGCTCAGGCATTGGAACAGGCTGCCCAGGGCAGGGCTGCAGGCACCGTCCCTGCAAGTGTTCACACACCGTGAAGATGAGGCCTCAGTGCCATGGGTTAGGGGTGGCCTGGGCAGTGCTGGCAATGGTTGGACTTCATCATCTTAAAGGCCTTTTCCACCCTGGGTGGTTCTTTGATGCTGCACTGGTTCTCCACCCACATGAGAATAAAACTGAGGGAGTTCATCAACCCAGGCAGCTTGGAGGAAAGCACAAGAGAGATTCCAGAACTTGTTGCAGGCTTTGGTTCTTTGCAAGAAACATCCCTCTGAGCTGTGCTGGGAGGGGGACCGGTTGTGACCCATTTGTTCCCCACATCTCTGCTTTGCTCCTGGGTTTCCTTTCTAACCACCCTGAGCATGGGCTTAGAAAACATGGCAGAAGAGGGCAAGCATCCAGAAAGCATGTGGGAACAGGGGGCATTGCTGCAGTGAGTCTGAGTGGTTTGGGTCTGAGCCTTTCTCTGCTGCTTCTCCAGCGATGCGCAGTGCTCAGGGCAATGTCCAGACCCTTTAGAGTGAAACATGCCTTGAACTGTTCCAACACCTTTGCTAAAGTTGCCTCCTTCCCACTCAGGTCCATCACTAAGTACTTTAATGTCCTTGGGGAACACCTCCAGTTGCCACTGCTAAGGCTTGGTGGTGATGGAGGCTTTTGGGGGTGTTTGGCAGGGGGATGAGAAGTTCGGGGGGGAAGTAAGGACCAACTATCCTCAACTTCGTCAAGAGATGCAGAGCTACTTGCTTTGAAGAGTTCAGCATTTCTTGCTGAAATGCTACTGGGATTTTATTTTTCCCTACCTGATAACAAATGAGTCCAAAAAAGCTTTCTGTCATGTTACAATAGAAACGAGACAGATTGCACCATTGCTTCAGCTCTCATTTTAATACCTGCCAATACCATTTTGCAAATCCTGGAGTGTAATAATGAAAAAAAAAGGAAGTGTAGCTAACATGAGGTTAAAAAATGTCTTTAGTGTGTAAAATATGAAGCTGGATGACACATAGGCAGCTGCAGATGCACTAATTTGATTTCATGCCTTAGAATCAACTGTTCTCCTGCACTGAAAGACACATTTACATCCATCTGTCAAAGCCGGTTCCTTGTCTTTTCAGAGTTCCTCCGCTCTTCTTTCATCCCAGGCTCTGCTCATGGGGGGATTTGGAGCAGACTTTTCCAGCCCACCCCTGTTTTTCAGGAACTTGTAATAAAAATCATTTTTTTTCCTTCTTTTTGTTTTTGCCCCTTTATTTTCTTTCCTCTTCTGAGTCTTAGGGAGGTATTATTACAGGATTATTAGACAGAGAATGTGGGATCTGAGTGCTTAAGCTTTAATCCTCATAAGCCAAAGTCCTGGCTACAAAGCTGGGTTCATGGCATTCAGAATCATTGCTCCAGCCCTCGCAGCAGCTCCATGGCCTCCTCTGGACTCACTTCAACAGCTCCACATCCCTCTTGTGTTGGGGGCCATAGAGATGGATGCGGGACTGCAGATACTTTCTTGATGCCCAGCAGGCTCTATGAATGCACAGACTGGGGCAGCTGGTGCCTTCAGGTGTTACTGGGATGTCTGTGAGACAGATTACCTTCCCTAGGGGCAGACCTTTCTGTTGTTTCCAATTTGTCTTTGCTGCATAGAACATTGGGTAACTGAAATCAAATTTAGATCTTGTCCATCGTAGGTGCGAGCAAAATCAATACCTTTCATATTCCCACCACAGCATGAAACTCTCTGGATGGAAATTAAAGGTGTTTGATGAGCTGCTAAGTCAGCCGAGCCGCTCTCTTTTTAACTGAGTTTGTAGTGAGCAACTCAAAAAGCCAGAACTCTTTTATGATTTAATTTGCCCATTTAAATACATTTAGGTCTCACCATCAAGAATCCATCACCCCTCAGATAGTCTCTTACAGTATTTTGCTAATGGTGGCTGGGCCCATTGTTCACATTAAACTGAAACATGCTTTAGAGCAAATCCAGTATGGCAAGATGCTGTTAAGAGGAAACATTAGTGAGCTGTTAGGACTGCAGTGGTGATGGCTGAAAGGTTTTTGCTGCTACGAGGTACAACAAATTCCTTGAGGCTTTTTCCTGGTTGTAGGGACAAAATAAGTAGTGGAACCTGTAACTGGCTCTTGTCAAAGAGAGAGGCAGAAAACCAGAGGTCAGTGCTGAAGCTGCATGAAGCTTATTAATTTGTGCTTCCTGAATTTTCATAGGGCTAAATTGACTTTAAAGTGCAAAGGCAGCGTTCATGTCTTCACCCAGTGTATAATCACACAAACTTGCTGCTGAAAGATCCAGCAAAGTTCTTGGAGTTGGATTGGGTGTCTCTTCTGATGGCAAGTACTTGGTTCTGCTTGTAGGAGGCCTAAGCCCAAAAGATGCTGTATAAAAAGGGACACACACAATTATTTCAGTTCCAGCATGACTCTGTATTATCACCTTAGGTTATTTAAATAGTCTTTTAACAACTGGACAGGGCAAGATAGGTGTTATTTCCATGAAGTG